GTAAGCCGCCCCGATTGCTCTGCAGAGGGGCAGGATATAAACAAAAATTATTATTATTATTATTATTATTATTATTATTATTATTATTATTATTATTATTATTATGGGAGCTAATTTCATGGTGTTCCTTCCCACCTGGTAATTTTTAAAAATGCATACATCCTGTTTTAACCAATGTGTGATCTGCCTTGTAAAGGTGGGATATTAATTAATTAATTAATTAAGGTAATTAATTATATAATTAATTGTAGTAATAGATTAATTAAATCTTAAATAAATGAATACAATATGCCCTGAAAATGTACCCATCAAAATAACTTTGCTGATATTTGCTATGGGGAAGTGAATAGCTCTTGAAACCATGCACTATCACCATGATGGCGAATCTATGGCATGCATGCCAGAGATGGCACATGAAGCCATTTTCCCCCACACATGGAGGGTGGGGAGGAGAATGAAGAGGTTCACACCTCTTCATTCTCCTTCCCTTTTCTCCCCAGCCTCCAGCTGTCTCTCCGGAGGCAGCTAAAGACCGAGGACAGCATAGAGGAAGGAGGAGGAACATGTGCATGCCTGTTCCTTTTATTCCCCCCTTCACCCAAAGAGGCAGCTGAAAGCCCAGGAGGACAGGGGAAAGACGTCTTGCTCCAGAAATCCCACCCCTGGCACCAGTTAACACCCGGTGCCAGAAGGTCTTTTAGTTTGAGCACTCAGCCCCTAAAAGTTTCACCATCACTGAAAGTTGGTAACGGAACTATAAGTAATTCTCTTTTTCTTATAGCTCTACCCTATACTTTCCTATCTTTTTTCCAGTGCTTATTTAAAACAAAGGCAAATGTGTATATATGCATGTGCTTCTCTCTCTGTGTGTCTTGTTTTTTAAAAGGAAACGTATGCATTTTTCTAAAAGTTTCTGTGCCTTGAAATGAATGATTGGAGAATGTGTGTAGACATTTCAGGATCTTAAACAACAGGTGATCTAAGCAATCAGAGACATATGTGGCCACAGAAACTGTGCATCTGATTTTTCAGGTACAAAAAATGTGATGTTCCTCTTTGATGCCGCAGATATATTGGCAGTCATTAAAGGGAATGGTTTGCACACCTCACCCTGTGAGATCTCAAAGCCTACTCATGGGTAATGAGGCTAGACATTTTAATGATATCTTTAAATAAATATGAAGTGCTAGGATCTCACACTTAAAGTAAATTGCCTTTTTTAATTGAATAGGTCACTGACCAGTGACAGATTTCTTTCCCTTAATATGGAAGATTTTCCCCCCATTTTTACTCTTAAGCATTGTTAAGGCCATGGAGGTTATAGTATTGTTTTACACATCTACATAATTGCTCAAATGTTTAAATGTCACTACATGCCCTGCACACTTGAGTTAACATATTAGAACATTGAGAGGGTGTGCACATTAAGTTTAATAGTTTGACAGGGGGAGGCTTGGGGAGGGGAATAGCTTTTCTTTTGAGAAATGTCACTTGAATCATTTCCAACATGTCCGATCTGCTGCTGTTAAAACCTCAGTAATTCTGTTCCTTCAGCCAGCTACAACATATTGATCCTTGACTTCATTGATTTTGGCACCATGCTGGAGATGGAACAGTTGTGTGGCCAAATGAAAGAACTACATCAACAAGGCATACAAACAGGAAAGAAAGTAACTGACTTAGAGTGAAGGGGATGGCTAAGGACCAGCTGTTGGAATGGCTACAAGCATGATATTCTGGTACAATATGTATTATCTCTTCAGCCTTGTCCCACACACTCTGTTCATGGTTAGCATGAACCAGATCCACAAACTCTTGGTTGGCAGTGACCAAACATTGACAGTGACCAGAGCTCAGGGAAAAAAATAATACTTTTTTTGGACTGCAACCCTTCCACCAGGATTCTGCTCAAGTTCTATTGTCCCTAATGGTGGTGCGGCCACATAGCCATACCCCCACTGGAAACAATGGGAACTCACTGGCCCTCATGCATCCTCCCTCCCTCCCTC